TTCAGCTTCTATTCAAATCACAAAACATGTTAGTCACTGTACATGAAGTGTGCATATGGAGCTAGCCACGTGCGATGGAGAAGATGTATCGATGTGTCGATGTGAAACATGGTGGGGTCGCGTGATGGGAAAGACTTATGTGGAACGAGACACGCGGATGTGGACGAGAGGGGCAGTAGACGAGAGACGAGAATATGCGGCGTGACGAAGGACGTGTGATGGTGGGATGATAGGTAAGTAACGAATTCGGAACGCGAGACAAAGAGTGGGTTGGAGATGCGGTGGTGGGGTGCAGATGTAAGGGCGGTGAGTAGGCGGTGGTGTGTTGTTTCAAATCACCATTCGCCGTAACAGCCTCACGAAAATACCACATACCTTTTACATTGTCAGTCAAGAAAGCGACGTTCTTGACGTCCTTGCCTAGCTCACGGCATATCTTCTCGTAGGACGTCTTTTCCATTTTAGGACCGGCGTTCACCGTGTCGTAGTGAGCGGCGAACAGGGGTTTAATGTCCCGCGTATTCGGACCGTCTGTGACGTAGGTAAAGAACTGGAGCTGAGCCTGCACGCTGCCGGAGGAGAAGATGGCCAGTGTTTTGCCGGCTGCTTTCCACTGCTCGAGTCGGGGGATCACATCGCTGAAGAGCGGGGTTTTGAGATCACCGTTGCGGAACCCGGTTGTCCAGAGGTGGCCTGCGAGCAAAGGGGTTAGTTTTGCGGTGCAACTATGTGTATTGGCCGATGATTGATAAGATCGATAAAGGCAATGTGCATGTGTGGTGATGGTAGTACGCAAGCAGCGTTTAGAATGGGCTGATCGACACGCTTGTGGTGCGATGGACGGAATGGGGTCTTGCAGCGGCGTCGAGCTGACAGGAAGAGGGTTTGGCACCCCCAAGGGTCGCTGCGACAGGCGGCGACTATCGCGATAATGCTGCCGGTGGTGACTGGCCGATCGAATCATTACTCTGTTTCGATCGAGCTAGCCGCTTTAGAGCGGCGCGGTGTCGGCGCTTGGTGTTGGCAATCATTTGGCTGGACATGGGAGGCCCGGGGTGCGTCGTCCATGTTGAAACACACAATTTGTTACCCACCTTGTAGTTGCTTCAAGTACACAGCCTTGACATCGCGCCGCGTAAGGTCTTGTACGTGGGCGAGTAGCGCATCGGCGCTGCGTTTGGCGTCGTCTGGGAACGATGCGATGAGGGTTTGGAAGTCGGCATCCGACCACGAATTGCGTGCTAGTCTTGTGAGACTGTCTAGTGCATACGGGTACTGCGGCTATTGTGAGCGAGACGGCGTGAAGAGGAAACCCCACTGGCGGGCGTCGCGTGACAGATGACGGAGGTTGGAAGCGCGAGATCATCGTTGGAGTGGCAGGTGCAGGTCGGAAAAGCATCTAGAACTCAGGGGAGGCGAAAGACGCGAGGGGAGCCATGAGTGGCTTCATCATTGCCGGGTGACACCAGGCTGGCATGGGAGAGCGGGCCGGCGTGATTCTCGACAGAGGTTGGTGGTGGTGATCACGATTCCGAATGCGGGGAAGATGCGCCTCGAGACGAACAAAAAGACAACGAGGGAAGGTGGAAGCGCTGGGAAGTGAGACGCGAGAATAGAAACATGAAGGCTTACCATGACATCTTTGACGAATGAGATGCTGGAAATAGTGCCCTCTGGCAGCAGTCAGCCTCCTGAGATGTTTAGGCCAGTCAACGCATGGCAAGGCGAAGCTGGGTGGCGCAGGCAAAAGCTGGGGTAGCGCCCGGGGGAGCGCAGCAACACAGACAGTGCAAGGTGCTGTCGGTGGCAGGCATCGCCATCGGGAAGTTGCTGACTAGACAGCTGCATGCATCGCGAGGTTGGTGGAGGCTGATTGCAGTCGTTCTCGACTAGCCATGCGGGACTCAAGAATGGCAAGCGACTTACCAATGTCGAGCAACACTACCTCTGCTTGGCTCCAGCGCGCGGTGTCGAGGGACGCGAGCGACATTGTTTCCTTGTTGTTGTTGAGTGCAGGGCGGTGAACGGCGGTGAGAAGAAAATCTCTGCTATAGCGCCTCTATACTGCGAACTGTAGTTGTGTGTCTGGACTGGCAGCTAACTGGTGCGAGGCTTGCGGACGGGAACTTCAAAACATGGCGGTGAGGTTACCACGGCAAGTTGTGTATTATTGACATGTGTAAACAAGTTCCTTGTATATTCCTTGACGATGCCGGATGAGGCCTGACAGCCGTGAACGTGCTGTCGAGAAGAAAATTTTCAAAAGCATAGGAGTCATCGGGCATCGGGGGTTGAGGCTTGCGTACAGTCACGATGGCTCTTCCCTAACGACTTCCTTGCAATGATCGTACATCCTCGTGGCAATGATCGTGATGAGGCTGGTCGTTGAGGCGCACACCGTCATGGGAGCCCCAGAATATCCACACCTTCACTCGTGTTTGCGGGGGACCATGGTGAGATGGACGGGTGTTCCTGGCTAACCCGACCATGTTGATGCTCGATGTCGCAAGATTTCCACATAGCTTCCGCAGCCGACCCACTGTACGTCCGCCTGTCACGCAAATCCTCCCGGCTCAACGCAAAAAGTTGAAAATGCTATAGGCTGGGGGAGAGTGTGTTGTCTTTGTTTCTCTACACCGCTCATGGGTAGCCCAGGGACAGGTACAGCGAGTGGGTACAAAGAAATGGCCCGGTGCATGTTACCTGCAGTAGCCCGCCGAGTGCCTGTCCAACACGCTCTCTGGGTGGCTGTGGATGCAGGAGGCTGCAAGTTACTGCAAGCTACTGCGAGCCCTCCTTTAGGGTGCAGTGGGAAGCTTACTCCGGATCCTGCGCAGCAAGACAACAAACAGAGGATTCGAGGCGGGATGGACGCGCGAGGCTATTGCGGCGTGAGCGCATACACGGCTTTGTCTCAGGTAGAGCGGTAGCATGAACCCCGACCATGAAGCAGCGGGATGCCACCTGAGCCCGTCGGGATCATATGGCAGTCGCAATGGCATCGCATCGCATCGCAGCATGAGCTTTCCCCAGATTTCTAATGTTTGCCGCGACCCGCCCGACCCTTGAGGCCGATGTCGAGGGACGATAGACAGTAGTCAGCCGAATAGTGTACCAAATGGCCGCGAGCTAGCGACGAAACACTTGTCATGCTGTATTGGGGCGTAGATCAGCCCCTGGATAGCGCAGTACTGCGCGACGGATACACTGCGGACAATCTGAGCACACGACAGCAGGACGTCCAATGTCGGGTTCAGAGAGCGCAAGGCTCATGCGGGACAAAGTGGCAAGCATCACGAAACGAGAGATAACGGTCGCGTTGGAGCAGCTCGTGGAGGGCGGGCGCGGGCTTCTACAGGCCAGGTGGCAGTTGGGTGCTACGGTGCAACGGGCTACGATCAGCAGCGCCCTGGAGGCGGCGCTTGGGGCTAAGCCAGCATTGGCGCACGACAGCTGGTCAGGCTGGACAGGCTGGACGAGGTCTGGAAGTGCGCCCTGTCCGCGTCGGCCAGGACAATGTTTCAGCGCTCGTCATAGCTAATTTCTGCGCATTCGTCCGCCAGCACAGAGATCAGAGTGGAGCCGATGACTGTGCAAGAGATGATGCCATGGGCAGGACCCACCGGCTGCCAAAGCAGGGACGACCGACGGGGACGGGGCGCAAGTGATGGCAGGCACGACGGGTGACGACCACGGTGGAAACCGATAGAAAGTCATGGAAAGTTGGCAGGCCAGTGGCGGCGCCGGTTGGCCAGGTCTTCGTGCTGCTTTAGCACCTGATCCAATGCAAGCCACGTAGCCATCCCTAGCCAGGCCCGCTAGTCCCAAAGTACGACCCCTGCCACTGGTGGGTCCCCCGAGGGCAGCAGCTCCTGGCGCGCTGCCCTCTAATACCCAGCTGGCCGTCCTTTACCCGCTATCACCTCACCACCATCTCCCGATGCCTCCATAACACGTACCCACCTACTTTGCTCTCGTCGTTGTTCGCAAGCTCTAGCGTTGCTTCCTCATCATCACCACCACAACCCTCACCGTCCGTTGCTGCCTTAATTACCACCGCTCCTCCCTCGCTCTTTCCGCAGCCGCAACCGCTCGCAGCTCAGACGTCAACAACGTCAACAACACCATCCCTTCCGCCCTCCGCCGACTCCCGACACACCCACGCCAACCACGCTATACACGCATCTACTCGACCATATAGCTGCCACCGCCGGGTCTGATTTGATGTGATATTGAGAGTCCGCTGCTGGCCATCCCGACATCCGTCCGACAGCTAGCTAGTCCGAGTACCCGCTCGTCCTCATCTCTCGCCTCACCTCACTTCGACCCGACCGCCGCCGCAATAGCTTTCCCAGGCAGACGTTTGATGCTCTTTCGATCGAATCCAGCATAGCGAACCGCCAACTAGCATCGTCTCGACCACCTTCGACAGCCTGCTAGCTCCCTTTCCGCGTGAGCCCGTGCCATCTGACTCACGCCGTCAATAGCGTCATCCAGACACCTCCCTACTGTCTGCCTACCGACGACACCTCCACTTCCACGTGTTACGACTCTCTTCTCTTTACGCAGCGATACCTCTTCCTTTCCGGACGTCTACGACTCCATCCCTCCTCCACCCACCCCGACAGCTCGTTGACTCGAGCTATCCATACGCAATTAATACCGACAAATGAGAACCACACTCTCTTGAGCATTTCCTTGCTGTTTCCGTCGACGGACTCCTGTGCATATCACCGACGACTGCTTTCTGTTTCTCCAGCCTCCCGCTGCTGCCTTACGACATATCCGGTCCGACCTATCCCATAACCATCGGCCGCCATTACAACCATTTATTGATATCTTCCCAAGACTCCGTCACCTAGAAGTCTGATAGAGCATCGCTTTTGGGCTTTCGGCTGTCTGCCCATTGTTTATCCGCATATCGAGCTTCCCCTCTTCCTGTTCCTTTGTTTGTTCGGCTTCACCACGACAGCCACCCCGTTCCACTACACACTATTCCAATGGAGTGCATGCGCGATCACCTTCACGACGGCGTTGTGCTACATGGACGATACGAGACCATCTCCCCTCTCAACAATGGCTCTTTTGGCATGGTCTTCCAGGCCAAGGACCTCGTAACTGGCGACAATGTTGCCATCAAGGTCATCACCAAGAGCACCGCCGCCGTCAACTGCCCTTCTGCTTTCGCAGTCGATGAGCGTTCCGAGGAGCTTGGCGTTCACCTGCACCTTGGCGACCACTCCAACGTTGTCAACCTGCTCCAGTCCTTCGAGACCCAGAACCACATCTACCTGGTCCTCGAGTTCTGCTCCAACGGCGACCTGTACGAGGCCATCCGTGTTGGCAAGGGCCCCCTCGAGACCGAGCACGTGCGCGACTTCATGATGCAGCTTGTCGGTGCTGTCGAGTTCATCCACTCGAAGGGTATCTACCACCGTGACATCAAGCCCGAGAACATCTTCCTCACTCAAGATGGCTCCATGAAGCTTGGCGACTTTGGTCTTGCCACTACCGACACGTGGTCCTACGAGATTGCTGTAGGCAGCGACCGCTACATGGCGCCTGAGCAGTACGACCCTGGCAACACTGGTTACTCTACTGAGAAGGCAGACATCTGGGCCATTGGCATCGTCCTCCTCAACATCCTCTTCCAGCGCAACCCCTTCGCTGTCCCATCCACTTCAGACCCTCTGTACGCCGACTTCGCACTTGACCGTCAGAGTCTCTTCGACGTGTTCCCCAACATGTCGCAAGATACCTTCGAGGTCATCAGGCAGTGCTTGGCCATCGACCCCGAGAGGCGCAACCTCAACGCCGTCAAGGATGCCTTGGCCCGCGTCATCAGCTTCACCACCGATGACGAGAGCCTTGATGACTTCTGCACTGAGGAGCGTGACGTCGTCGCCGTCGGAGCCAACCGTGAGCCCCTCCGCACACCTTCCATCTCGACGCCGCAACTCGAGAACAATGGTTCATTCCCATGGGCGAAGGCCTTGGCCATGTCGCCACCTCAGCAGTTCCGTCAGCTCTCAGCCATTCCTGACGACGAGATCTACGAGGACGACATGTTCCCGGGTCCTCCCTACGACGTCAAGCCAGATAGCGCCTCTGCCGTATCTTTTGTGGACTCTGGCTTAGGCTTATCTTTCAAGTCGGTTGACGTCAGCGAACCAAAGTCGATGAACTTCACTCGATCTCGGCCCGTTGCTATCTCTGGCTCGCTTCCTGCCAAGAACTTCAACAGCATGTCGTCCGTCTTCGGTAAGAAGCGCGACATGATCTCGAAGAGCTGGAGTGACCTTTGGGATGAGGAGGATGACGATGCGCAGTTCCTCGCTGAGCTTGAGAACAACTGCCACTCTTTCAGTGCTGAGAAGCCCAAGCCCAAGGCTGTTGTCTCCGAAGCCGGATCTGGCGTCTCGACCCCTCGCGGCTTATCTGAGGTGAAGAACCCTGCCACGGTCCACAACAGCAGGGATCGCTCGCCTAAGAACATTCGCTCTGCGGTCGACCATGTCAGCGCGGCGACTGGATTCGTCTTCGAGGAGCATCGCACCCCAGCACCTGCTCGCAGCCCCAAGCGCTCTGCTGCCGACAAGTGGGCTGCCCTCGGCGATCGTCGACGCAGCCCTGCCGTCCAGGCCCAGCAGCAAGTTCAGCAGCAGACTCCGTCAAAGCCAATGAGGTCGCCCAAGTCCGCTGAAGCTCCGAACTCCGCCCGGAAGCGGAGCCGGACTGGAACTGGCCGACGACCGATCCACTGGGGCTCCAGTCACAACGAAAACAACAACCACCCTGTCAGCTCCTGGGAGCAGAAGGTGGACAACTGGTACAAGAGCAAAGATTGGCGCTCTCATACCGATCACGCCCAGATCACGGACGATCTGGGTGACCTTGAGTGGGTGTGGTAAGGCACTATGACCTGCCACTTGTAGTCTTGACAACTTTTCTTATCCCTTTTTTTCTTTGCTTTGATTTCGAGGAATACGTTGTTTCCAGGAAGCAAGAGTCCTACGATTCCCAATCCTCAACCCTCCACGTTCAAATTGTAGCCGTTAGAGATACCATTTCCTATCTCCTCTCCTCTCTACCTTATACCTGTACACTCCACTTCACCGACGACCTCATCATTTCGAGCTTCTATCTTGTCGCTTGGTATCTCTCCTTTGTTACTTCACGGGTGTGTTTGTGGCTAGCTTCTGGGACTCTTGCATTGTTGGCGGGTGAAAGAAACTGTTCTGATGAAGGCTTTCGTCAAACTGCAAATGCTCAAATATGAAAAGGGAAGCAAGCGGCATCTGGGATGGAGTTTACGTTTTTTCTGTTGGCATCGAGAGGAGCCTATCTCTCCTCTTTCACAATTCGCTTCTTAGGGATGATTAGTTAGTCAAGACTCGTATCCGTCGGAGATTCCTTCAGCACTGGCACCGTTTCGCAAAAAGTCGATCGGTCGCGAAAAGGATCCGGGATTTACCCACTCATTAGTACGTCTTCTGCATCCAGTGACGATTTCCTTGAATCAAAAACCATTGCGGTAGATGCCCTACCGTACAAGTAAATAAGCTTCTTTCTCAGATTGTATATATATACCTATAGATTTAATCCCGTACGTACATTGTAATTAGACCCAACCCATAGAACGCGCTTCTCGCGATGAAAACTAGTATCACCAAGGATCATCCATGCACCTGTTCAACGTGCAGAGGATTGATCAACACAACATCGCAATTCCCATCTTACACATCCATACATACACTCAACTCACCATCCCATCAATCACACACTCATCCTCGCCTCCCCCGTAGCAAACCCCCCCACCAGCCCAAACTCCCCCTCCACATCCTCAAACCCCTTCCCCTCAACCACCATCTTCGCCACGGCCCTCGCACACACCGGTATAATACCCATCCCCCCTCCATTAAACCCACACAACATCCACTGTCCCTCCTTCACCCCTGGAACACGGCCAACGTGTGGCATCCCATCTGTCGTCTGCGCCTGTATCCCCGTCCAGATTGTGTCTGGTTGGGCGGCGCTGTTTTCCCAGCCCAGGAAGGTTGTAGACATGTAAGATGTCCAGTGGGAGTAGATGGAGGGGGGGAAGTGGCCTGTGAGAGCGGAGTCGTCGACGGTGTTGTACCATAGGGATTTGTTGTGGGGGTTGGAGGTGTAGAGCCAGGAACCGCCGCCGACGACGATGCTGGAGTCTGGGCGGGGGTTTAGGTAGTCTGTTCCTGTTGGGTGGCCGGGTGATGAGGGGGCGAAGGCGATGTTGTAGGTGGTGGATAGGTGGGGATGGATGGGATGGGAAGGGGTGTGGTGGCTGTTCATTCCTTTGTAGGGGGTTATTGTGCCGCGGAAGGAGGGGAGGAGGGAGGGCGTGTAGGCGTTTGTGGCGTGGATGAGGGATGTAGTGGTAAGGGTGCCGCGGGGTGTGTGTAGAATAGTACCGTTTGATGTAGATGTGAGGTGGGTAACCGGCGTATTCATCTGCACATTCAACACCCCTTCCCCACCTCCATCTCCATCCCCATCCTCATCCTCCTCACTCCCACCAAACCTCCCCACCAACCCCTCCAAAACCCCCGTAACCAATTTATACGGCCAAAAACTCGCTACCTCACACGTAAACGCCCCCACCGCCCCTTTCACACTAGTAACCCCCTCCACATACCTCCCTTCAACCACACTCCTGCTCTTCGTCCACTCCTCCCCCTTCTCCACCGCATCATCAAACACCCTCTTCACCTTCTCAAACTCCTCGCTATCTTGAAAAACATCAAAGCTACGCCGGAGTTCAAACTCGCATTCTTGAGCTAACCCCTCGTCTTCAACCAGCGATTTCAGCTCGTAAATCACGCGTTGGTGGTAGTCCGCCATCTCCGTCCTCAGCGCGCTGTCTTGCATACCCGCCAGTGTCGCCGTCTTGATTTTAGAGTGCCCGCCGTTGCGTGCGGTGGCGCCGCTGCAGAGGGAGCGGGCGTCGAGGAGGACGACGCGCGGCATGCGTTTTCCCGTGGCGAGGTGGCTTTTGTGGTAAGTTTGGAGGATGTGGTATAGGGTTAGTACGCCAGCCATTCCGGAGCCGATGATGGCGATGTCGCAGGTTGGGGGGAGGGAGGGGGTGCTGCGGAGGGTGGCGTAGGGATGGGGGTGTTGGAGCCAGTAGCTGGGCATTGGGTTGGGGACGGGGAGGTAGTCGTGGGGTTGTTTTTCGTGAGAAGAGGTGGTGGTGGTGGTGGTGGTGGTGGTGTGGGTTGAGGGGGGATTGGGAGGGGCTGGTATGACGACTTTCCTGAGAACCATGTTTGTGAGTAGAACGGTGATGTCGTGATGTTTGGAGTAGGATGTGGCAACATCGACTGTTTATACATGCAAGATGTTGATCAACGGCTTGTTTGGGGGCCATTTCGTTGTGGCTTACTTCGGCGTTCGGGCTAAAGTCAGAGGCGTTAGATGTCGCATCTCACCTTCCATTCCGGTTGGCTGCAGGTGTTCTTATCGGTAATCGTACGTCAGTTTACGGGTATAAGCGCATGGTGAATCGGAAGAAGATGACTTTTGACGATCTTTGGATTTTGACTTGTATACAGTCGGGGTATCATGGAAAGGAAATAGGTTCTTGCTCCTACGCCGATGACTGCACGGCGGACCTATGGCACACTCGGAGTCGTCGGACTCGTCAGTCCACCTTGACTCTTCCTCCTGTCCTTCTTCTTCTTGGGGGCGGGAGCGATGATGCCCTTTTTACCCTGCGCTTCCAGTGTCGTCGGTGTGCCTACCGCCTTTGGTGTGCCCACTGCAGACGGTGCCCTGCTCGGTGGCTGTGTCTCGATTTTCAACCCTGCAGCAGGTGTAGACTGTGAGGCTTGTGCCGCTTGCTCTTGTGCCTTGTTCCTCGCATTTACAGCGGTCTTGGTGCCCTCGAAGACGAACGCGCCTGGCTCGCCCTTCAGCGGGTTCTCGTCCATGTATTCGTCTCCGTATGCGTTTGTGAGATTGAGTGAGTGCATGAAAAGCGCGTCGGAGAACTCGGTGGTGGATGCCAGTGGATCCGCCGCCTGTGCTGTGGCTCCTGCTCCTTGTGACTGCGAGCCCGCTACGTCTGGGTCTGTTGGCGCCAGTGTCGGACTACCGATTCGACTCGCTGTAGTCGCCGCTTTCGCTGCTTCATGTGAAGGAGGGAAGTACGAGTATCCCGTCGCAGGTGTCCAGTGTGTCATGTTCTTGGATATCTCAGCCATCTGCTCCATGCGCGTCGCGACGGTCAGCAGTCTACTCTGCACAACATCCAGCAAACTCGGCGCCATGAGAACCTTCGTATTGTGCGTATACCAGTTGCCCTCGACAAACATGCCGTTCTTCTTGTTGCCATCATAATCCGTGACCTCGGCCTTGTGTTGGCGCTGGAGAATCCATGGGTGCCCTTCGCCCTGCCCTTCGCCTGCTATAACGTATTGTATTCCTTGTGGTACACTGTTGAGTCTTTGATTCCATAGCGTCGGATCATTCATGATTTGTTGAGCATTGGCCGGGTCATGCAGATTGAGGTTAGTGAAGACGGATATGTTGATGCACTCCTCGGCATCGAACCATGGCGACGAGGTGAAGTACCAGAAAAGGTTGTTTCCGGCATTCAGGTCTTGCCCGGGCAGAGTCGCGATGGTCGAGGGCGCATCGTATTCTTGCTCGTCGGGGGGCGGGAGTGTCGGAGGCATGTTGGCGGTGGGTTTGTGAGTGAAGAGTATCAGGGCTGTCTGGCAGCTCTTGAAGGTTGGTGATGGAGAAGCTACTGGTAGGTAGCACGGGCCTCTCACCTCCGCGTGTTGGCCGCAATCGACTTGCGCCGTCTTCTGTGCACGACCACGACAACTTCACACTCAACACCATGGATCTCGTACAGACAGTGCGCAAAGAAGGCAGCCGGTAAGCTTCCTCATTTATTGATGTAAAGCATCAGCTGACAGTATCCAGCGGCGGTCGCGCCGACTTCAAATGGGAAGACGTCAAGAACGATGCGCAACGCGAAAACTACCTGGGCCACTCGCTCATGGCCCCTGTCGGCCGTTGGCAACAAGGACGCGACCTGAACTGGTATGCAAAGGGCGACGAGGAATCCAAAGAAGCCGAAGCTGCGCGCATCAAGGAAGAGAAGCGCAAACTGAAGGAGGCTGAGGAAGACGCCATGCTAGCTGCCATGGGTCTGCCCGTGCCAGTGCGCAATAACGCGAACCTGACGCCACTCGGCCAGAAAGCACACGAGGCAGACGTCAAGGATACGCTAGATGAGAAGGCCAAAGTGGAGGACGACGGCGACAAGGCGAAGAGGAGGGAGAAGAAGGAGCGTTCACGGAGACACAGAGATGACGACGGAGAGCGAAGGAGACGTCATCGATCGCGGAGTCGTTCGCGGGACAGAGAGCGACGCCACAGACATAGAGAACGTTCACGGTCGCGCGACAGGCGGAGAGACGATGTGCGCGATGACAGGCGCAGACACCGATCACGAAGTCGCGACCATAAGCGACGAGACGAACATACAGAACGCAGGCGAGACCGCGATGTCGATGCGAAGCGGTCGAGGTCACTATCGAGAGACCGGAGACGGCGAAAGGACACGAGAAGCAGGTCACCACACGAGAGGAGTGAGAGGAGGAGGGATTGAGGAGTGTAGCAGATACAGCGAACATATCCTCAAAGCAGTTCTAATCAGACCATGGGCGTTCTTTAGATTTCTACCGGTATGGTGCCACCCAGTTCAAGCGTTCATGAGAGCTTATGTAGCTTTAGCGAAATCTTCACGTTGGACATCCAGACATTGATCCAAACGAAGTTCTCGCGATTCTTCAAACAGCAACCTACTATGCATGCCGGAAGAAGTCGTTTCGTGCACCTGACTACCCCAGTCCAAACCCACATATCCCCACGCTGCACGCCTTTCGGGATCTCCCTCCGACTCGGCAACCTCGGCCGGCTCCCCATAGCCCCCCAAACCCCTCATCATCAGCATGTAACAATGATACACAGTAGCGTCTTCGCTATTGCATCCTCACCGCTGCGATTTGCCTTTTCCTTACCTCAAACCCCGAATCACATAACCATCCTTCTTTGCCTAACAACTCCGACTTGAACACCCTGATCCCATCCATCTAACCCCAGTCATCCCATCACCAAACACCATGACCGCAGCACCACCATCCATACCCGACTGGCGCACCCTCGCCGCCTCAAAACGCGAATCTGTGTACGCTAAAATACCGAAAGATTGGCGTCTGCCTTCTTCGCAAACATCTCAGTACACAGAAACGTCCAGTATATCTGTGCTAGATGTACCACGAACATGCGGCATCCTGACCGAGAAAGAGCTAGACATTACTGAAAACTACGATGCCACTGACCTGGTGAAGATGATGGCAGAGGGCCAATTGACGAGCACAGAAGTGGTAACGGCATTTTGCAAGAGAGCAGCTGTGGCGCAGCAGTGCGTGAGTTGCCTAACAGAGATCATGTTCGAGGAAGCGCTTGCTCGAGCGAGGGAATGCGATGATTTTCTGAAGAAGCAAGGGAGGGTTATGGGACCGCTGCATGGACTGCCGATAAGTCTGAAGGACTCCTTCAACGTAAAAGGCGTTCAAGCAACACTTGGTTACGTCTCTTTCATCGCGCACCCGCCCGCTGCTTCGAACTCCTCTTTGGTCACTCTCCTGCACTCCCTCGGCGCGGTGTTTTACGTCAAAACCAATCTCCCTCAGACTATGATGACAGCGGATTCCCACAACAACATCTTCGGCCGCACGCTAAACCCGCTCAAACTGTCTCACACAGCCGGCGGTTCTACAGGCGGCGAGGGCGCCCTCCTCGCTATGAAAGGGAGCGTCCTGGGTGTGGCAACCGATGTAGCAGGTTCAAACCGCATCCCCGCGATATGCTGCGGCGGCTCGTCTCTGAAGCCAACGGCAGGCCGAGTCCCGTTTGCAGGCGGCGTCGCAGTCGGTCGGCTGGGAAGTCCCGGTTCCGTTCCCGTGGTCATAGGCCCGTGTGGCCGTTCTGTCCGCGACTACGAGCTTTTCATGCGCAGTGTGGGCGACGCGAAACCGTGGCTTTACGACGAAAACAGCCTCAACGTGCCGTGGCGGCGCGTCCAGCCTTCGCCTCACCCCCTGCGCTTCGGTCTCGTGCGGGGCTGTAAAGAACGACCGCTCCACCCGCCTATCGCTCGCGCACTGCATACCACGGCGATGAAATTGAAAGCGCAGGGGCATGAGATCGTCCTCCTCGACGAGAAAATACCGGATCTCTACCAAACCGCCCTGCTAGCATGGAAGTTCTTCATGCTGGACCCGAAGAAGACGCCACTGCAATATATCAAAAACGGAGGCGAACCGCCTGTCCCCTCGCTATCAACATGCTCGTTCCCCGAGTTGAGAGACTGGGTGCCTAGTCTGGATGAGCTGTGGGATTTGAATGTGCAGAAAGCGGGGGTTGTTAGGAAGTGGCATGGGGTGATGGTTGGCGAGGGGGAGAAGGGGTTAGATGCTGTTCTGATGCCGGGGTATCAGGGTGTGGCACCAAAGCATGATACGTATGGTCTTCCGATTTATACGGTTGTGGTTAATTTGCTGAATTGGCCGAGTGGCGTGTTGGCGGCTGGGAAGGCGGAGAAGGGGGGTGATGCGGAGTTTGCGAAGGAGGGGGTGAAGTATGAACCGCCTTGTAAGTGCTGTTTGCGAATCGAGGGTATGATGGGGGCTAACTTGTTACAGATGATGCGGATGAGTGTGAGGGTCTACCTACGCATGTACAGGTTGTGGGGAAGAGTATGATGGACGAGGAGTTGGTGGAGGTTATGAAGGTTGTGGAGGATGTGCTGAAGAGGTAGTATCTGCTTTGATACTTTTCTGCGATTACATGCCATCTTGATGAACTATGTCGAAATGTCTGTATCTCAAACTCACACCACATAAGTGCATATCTGCAGCAAACATGTTGGTGTCTAGACATCCAGGGCCTGAAGTTCGCATCATGGCGGCCCTCCCAACCCCCCACTGACATCAAACATCTGCTTAAACACAGTGTTAACCAGCATACCAGGTCCTATCTTCATCGGCACAGCAACCTCCTTCCCTCTCCTTCAGCGGCTCTTTCCCTGCCATCATCTCCACTGACCCCGTCTCTCCACCACCATAACCCCATCCCATTCTATACCAATACTCCGGCCAAGAATGCCCATTCCCATCTTCCAGCCCCGTTTTCTCCATGATGTGGCTTGCATCTGGTGAGATACCCAGAACTTGTACTCGCGAGCTTGCAATACTCAGATAATACAGCATCTGTGCTGCATAGTGCTGCATAACCATGTCATCCAGTGCAGCAAAGCCGAAGGCGTCGGGCTCACGATCTGGAACGAAGTTGGCGCGGGTGTAGTGGATATCTGGTGGGGATAGGAGGCGGAGGTGTCTTAGATGGGGGTGTGCGGCGATATGGGTCTAGAGACGTTGTAAGTTTTTGCTATTAGAGTTGTGGGGAGATAGACGGGTTGCTTACTAGAAAAATCTTCTGGTCGAATATCATGTCAGAGCCGGGTCGGTCTGGCACTAAATAAGAGAGTGGGTTGGGACCTCGAATCGGGTGGAGGGATTGGCGGGGGAAGTGTACGGCGAGGCCATTGAGATAGGGAAGTGATTTCAGTAGCTTGGCAATATCGTCTGGGGGGTAGAAGGGTACGCGATCTGTGACCTGGCCGTCTATACCGAGTTGGCGGAGGGAGGTGTGGCGGGCGATATAAGATACATCGACGATGCGTCCGTCTGCCATGTCGAGCCAAAGCTTTTCCAGGCTGTTGAAGGAGTTGAGGAGTGCTTCGACAGCTTGAATGGTGTGTTCTAGTGGAGAAGAATTCCGAGCCATCGTAACGTTCAACTCAGTGAGGTTGCAAACGGGCGCAAGTACTGCCATGAGATCGACGATGCTCTCGCAATCCACTAGCTGAAGACATTTGAGTTTGGATAAGTCGACGTTGCCCTGCACTAGAGCTGCAGCGCGTCGCCCCAAGACCACCTGCTCCAGGCTCATCCGTGATAACTTGAGTCGAGGAGGCGCACTGCCACTTTCAAACGGCCCTCCGAAGACTGTCCAATCTGGTCGTGCATCTGGGCGATCAGGATACGCCATGAGACTGAGGCAACCAGGACGTGTCACAATCCTGAGTTCTTTGAGATTCGGAGCGCTGCGCACGAGTAGTCCAGCCGCCTTGCATTGTTCGCTGCCCATGTCGTCGGGCATCACGGTGAGCGACTCGATATTCGCAAGTCGAGAGGATATCCATGATTCGTGAGCTCCGTGTGCGTAGCTTACGTTAGAAGTACCAAGCCCCAGATTGAAAAGAACATCGAGCCGCTTCAGCTTTGTCTGATGCTGCAGTAGATGCAACAAAATCCCTGTGGGTAAATTGACTTCCCCAGCTAGAGCACACAGTGCCTCCTTGGGAAGTTCGTTGATGATTGTCATGAGTAGCATCTGCGTGGAATAGTCGCATGCGCCGTACAGCTTCTCGGTGCCAACGCGGGCGATGTAGATACTTTTTACGTGGGGTATGACGCCGTTCCCAGGCTCGAGGAGTGTGTTCAGCATCTCTGGGGTGAAATTATCCGACGCTATCGTAAGGTTCGAAAAAGCCATTGGCGTGATGATGTCTCGCCATTCGTGGTTGACGAGACGAACGGCTGCATTGGTGACTTTGTCGCGTACGGAGGCGAAGATGTTGGTCTTCATCTCTGCCGGGAGGCTTGAGAAGCTAGCTGGGCCCGATGATTCGGTCATCTTGAATGAGTTGAAAGTTGGTGTGTGGTCAGGGGTGACAACAAGGCAGATGAGTTGAGTGGGTTGCGCTTGTCACTGGTGGAGCGCAACGAGTTATGGTTCCAAAGAACGGCGTGAGAGCCCAGACAACAGTCCGAGTGAAAGGCTCTGGAGGCGCTGACGACGTTTCTTCTCATTGTTGGCAGTTGATGAGTGAATGGGAAGGGATGTAAGGAGTGAGTTGTCATCGAAAGACCCCGCTACTGCCTGAAGCTGTGACATATTGTTCGCGAGGGCACACTTTTCTAGCAGCGCTGAGTTCTTGAATCGAGATGTCTGGTTGACTTCATTCATCTCGAGGCCTACCGCAGCCCATCGAAGGAGAGTTGATAAAGTAAGCTGCTTCGCGAACGAGTTCTCGTTGTTCTGAACAAATGCAGCCGGACGCAATTGGTTTACGGAGCCGATGAACATCCGCAGACAGGCGTCCCAGAAGTGGCTGGAGAAGCCAGTAATCTCGACATCGCTGGCGCGTCCAGATTCTTCCAAGAACACGGCGTGGGATTGACGGATGACGTTGAAGCTCGGGGTCGTGGCGACGGACGCGGTTGTGCATATCACCGCTGCCTTCCCAATCCGCGCGCGAAGTCCAAGCTTCGCTGCGGCTTTGACTGAGTTGACGAGGAGCAAGATCCTTTTGGGGACTACGAGCAACTCGCCGGTTACAGATATTTCGACACAGCTCATCGAGACGAAGACATGCGGTTTTGCGGATACCAGCACGTCGCGCCCGAGATCATGTAGCAGTCTGGCTGACCTATCCTGCCCGAGAATCTAAAGTTGCGTGAAGCTCTTCAGACTGGTCGAAACCGCGTAACTGTGAAAGCTCTAGGAGTTCCGGGGTTCCTGTAGAGGTGCAAGGTCAGTATGTGTCTTACGCATCTGGTACAGTCGGGACTTACCTTGAGGTAGGCCGGAACAGCGTCACCAAACTTGAGATTGCCATCGCTATCGCCATCGCTATCGCCATCGCCAGCCTCTTGCTCTAGCGGAACAAATGTTGAGACGCGACCATCGATGTTGAAGAGCTTGACGAATGAGTTGCGCTCGGCCTCCGCTTGATTGACAATGAGGTCGGCACTATCCATGATGAGTGGAAGATCGAGCGACTTGGATGAGGGTAGTGGAAGATGGTTGCGATGGTGAGTAAAGAGTAGAGGGGAGGGGTTGTAGAGGGTAAGATTGAGGTTGTTGTGAGAGACTGCCTCTGTAGGTGAGTGCCTACCAAGGCGTACGGACCCAAGTTGCAAAGGCAACCAAAACAGCGCGCTTTGGCGAAAAACTCTGCAAGGCAGGTGCAGGCGAGAGCGACCGTGACATTTGAAAAATGTAGGAGTGTTGATTGGCTTGTATGCCTCAAAGGGCTGCGCTCGCATGGTGACGCGATAACTTGTCGAGAGACTCTGCAAAGCCAGTGAAGGTGAGAGTGACTGTGATTGTCGGATAAATATAGGAGTGTTGGTTTGTTTAGGTGCCTCGATGGGCTGCGCTCGCATGGTGGCGCGATAGCTTGTCGAGCGTGTGCGAGAAGACGATTCTGAGACGGTCGCGCAAGGAAGCGGGTTGCCGCCAAGTACTCACACTCTCAGGCGTATATTTCTCGCAGTCGCTTTTGGGTGACGATCAGTGGCGAGGATCATCAGAAAGTTGAGGGGGTGTTGGTTGGGTTCGTTGCCTCAAAGGGCTGCGCTCGCATGGTGGCGCGAAAGCTTGTCGGGCAACTGCGAGAAGACGATTCCGAGAAGGTCGCGCAAGGAAGCAAGTTGCTACCGAGTACTCACATTCTTAGATGTCTTTCTCGCAGTCGCCATTGTTGGAGGGGAGGGGCGGGTGGTGGTGAGGTGGTGGTGCGGATTGGGTTGTTATAGCGTCGACGTCTTTTTATTTAGGCAGCAGCGGAAGTCGCAGTGACTCACGTTTGCTTAGTGTAAGGTGAGTGACCATAAAAACAAGGTGACGTCAATGTATGTTGGCAAAGTTAAACGTGAAGCCGCCTTCACCCGCTTGCCTAGCTCGAGCGACTTGGCATGGCAACCGTTGAGTATAATGCTGTTGCCTCCCCCAATACCGGAGACGCGAGATGCTGTGGCAATATATAACAGAAGTGAACTCTGTACTTCGTCCATGGATACTAAGGCCGGTACCAGAGTAGGACATGGAGGGACCGCTCACGAAACTGATCACTGCTACGCACGGGAGATAGTCTGCAGGGCGTTAGCAATGCGATGTTTGACTGCAGTCAAGGGAGGACGTACGGTAATGAACACTTCGAAAGCGGAGTCGGTACGACGTCATGAAGGGCAAATCTCAGTCCAGAGCCCGGTGATACCAGGACAGTATCGCTCGATCACGCACGGTTCTGAAGTACATATCGACTCGACAATATTGCTTGCATTCATGTGAAACTACATACTATACATATTGCGTGGTTTCCATGACACCAAGACCTTTTTTGATTGCATGACGTGATGACAAGCGAGGTGTGACTAACCCAGACTACACATGCTATACATGTAATACAAATGGATGTATAGTTACAGTATACCAGACATCGTGCTCATGCGAATCGAGCGTTGTAGATGAAGGGGGCATAGTTCTCTACCCATCGAGACGCCGTGCCCTTCAAGAAGATCCTCCGTTGGTTTGGTGTGTGAAGTCCGTGGGTCTGAATCAGATGAGAGTCGTACTCTGATGGACTGCTAAACTTGTGGGCTGTGTTGCATCCTTCTACGTAGCAGGAATGGTCTTGTGGCTTCTCGTGCTCGAGCACAGTTGGCTGATTGACTCTGTGCTCTTCCTGCAAGTGGTTACGATAGGGGACGTGTGCTTTGTAGCGGACTTCGCACCCCTCAAATCGGCATGTGACAATCGTGTCGCGGTCGTACAAGGCCATGGCGTATTTGAGATGATCTTCTTTCATGTACTTGTCGATATGGATAAATGATGCGAAGTCGGTGCGTGGGCAGCCGTCAACTGGGCACGCGGCGGGATAATACTTGGTGTGCTTGGTGACGACATGCTCCTGCAACGCCCTCTTGTTTTTGCAGGACCAATCTCCTTTCTTATCACCGTTTGGAACCTGTCTTGGGTACAGGCTTACTTCCTCGTCTTGTTTTGTGATTGGAGAGCCTCGGACAAGAATGGGCAGTATCTAGTACAGCCATGCCGAAGCGCTCACGTACACCTTGAGTTGACAGATGGCGCGAGCATTGGCCAGTTGCAAATCATGCTTATCGGCTAAGTGCAGTGCGGATGGTGTGCCAGCGCCCGCAGGATGCCTCTCATGGCGGCACCCCATTCAAGAAAAGAACTGAACAGGTCTGGAGCCTACATCAACATGGAAACATGCAAGACAGGTGACACAACGTCGATGTAGACTCCAGGCCTGTTCAAGTTTTTCCTACGCTGACGCAGCGGAGTGGTTGAGTTCTTGACCGATGCCTCGTATAGTGATTTGGTCGCCGTGTACAACGCGGAGGAGATCGTCTGCTGCGCCGTGCCGTAAGTCATGCGATCGGAATGTAACAATTGTATTCAATATAGTCTGGAAGAGTTTGAAAGCAATGTCCATACCGTTTGATCTCATCGGTTGGCTTCGTATAATCGTATGCGCGGGGGTGATGTGACAGAAGAGAGGGAGGTGTGGATGTACCCATTCGATCCTCTTGAGTGGATGCGTGGCAGCCTGAGCGAGGATGGCTTATATGGTGTTGCCGCATTTCGCGTTGTGATGTCGCATGGTGTTGACAAGGATCAGACTTGCTGGGTGAAGACCGTCATCATTGTTGCCAACCAGGATGTTTCGATGCGATCTGTAGGGTTCGGAAGGTTCTCCACCACATACTTAGGGTAGCATGTACTTGACAAGATGTGCGAGTACAGTAAAAGTACTTGCTACCCTTAGCGATCCCGAGTTACCAATCGCCATTGGTGCCTTCAACTATATCGTCTCCTTTGTGTGCCAGCCTGACGGCGAAGTATGAGCAAAAGGTTTTGCTCTCGCAACCATTCTTCTTTGCTGCAGCTGACAACACAGCTCAAGGATGCCCACTGTTCTCAAACCGAGCCACGTATACATCTGGGGCTACAATGATACTTCTCGGAGTCAATGAAAGATGCTTTGTATGCTGGAAGGGAAGATGAGCTAGGCTTGAGATGGACGGGAGTACATCTGTATACTGCAAACCTATATACAACGGCCACGATACTATCAGCAAGTAAGCATAGTTTGCACAGTGGGAGCGTGCAGAAGGGAGCTAGAGTGATTTCGAGAAAACAAGTTGTCCATAGAAGGCTGATGGTAGCTCATCCCACCTCCTTCTAACACGGTATGACATGACGGAATGACGCAAGTGTTTTCGCGGTCGTAAAACTTGAAGTATCGCCGAGTTCAACATTCTCCATGAACGCGATACTGGTTTGGCATTCCGATGACTGGCGAAGTCTTTGCGATATCCCGATGTGATCGGATGACTTGAGACGGCTGCCGTCGGAGGGGTACTGAAGAGCGTCAGACAGCGACAGCCGACATACGGTGTTAGCCAGCATCACGAAGCTGCTGCAACACCAACGTCACGCATCCAGCCATGGCAGCCTTGGAAAGGCATCTCGGCAGCCCTAGAAGCCAGGCGAGGCTTCGCGAACCACGGCTCCTGTGCCAATAGCGGGCAGCGCGATGGAAAATTCGCCGCCTGGAGTTTCGGGCCCCACGTTCTTTGAGGCCCTCGCCGCTAGTTGTTGGCCCGAGCCAGGTTCCGTCCCCGAGATTACCCGACCTAAAAATGGCGGACCCTGACAATGGTGGCTCGCAGAAAGGAGAGGGTGGGAGACTTGGGCTGGAAGAGGCATGTGAACACTTGTACATCCCCACAGTGGATTTTCCATGTTGAATCGACGGCTGCGGGCTGCCTTTAGACGCGATTTCGTCAAGCCATAGGCAGTGTGTGGCTGCTACGGCAACGCTTGTGGGGGTTCCGTTGGGATCAAGAGGCAGAGTACCGTGAATTGGATGCAGAGCAGGCCGTCGATATATAGCAATTGAGACGTCCAGGAAGCCAATTGGAATGCGACGACCATCGTGAGGACTTTTTCTCATTCACCATTGTCCCAACCCGCGATTCCGAGGTGTTGATGAGGGTGCGCTCGGGATAGCGGGCAAGGCCACTAGCACGTGATTGGCTTAGTGCGAATTAGCGTTGCTGGCAGAATTTGTCGCAGCTTCGCTACAAATACACCGTTCTTCCCTCAACGCAGCACCAGCATCTGCAACCTCACCTTTTTCAACCAATCTCCCCTCCATACATCATCCAAGATGTCGGGCGCACAGCAGGGTGTGTATTACATCGACGAATTGCACGAGACGACGCTGACCAGATTGCAGACAAGTCCCTTTTCGGGATGCCAGGTTTCGTGGTGGACTTCTTGAGTACGTTTATCTCCATCGACAGGTCCATCAATCCGTCTGCCATTGGCAATTGGATGTGATGCGAGCGTTGTCGGCCAAGTTTTGCTCTCGCAACAGCCACTAACAGCTTATCAGTGGGTGGTGTTTCCGCCGCCGTCTCGAAGACCGCTGCTGCCCCCATCGAGCGTGTTAAGCTCCTCATCCAGAACCAGGTAAGCATCATCAGAACCTCGACCCCCGCATGTCGACAATTGCTAACCCACCCCGCAGGATGAGATGCTTAAGTCCGGTCGTCTCGACCGCAAGTACGATGGCATTGGCGAGTGCTTCAGCCGTACCGCTAAGAACGAGGGTGTCCTCTCCCTCTGGCGTGGTAACACTGCCAACGTCATCCGTTACTTCCCCACCCAGGCGCTCAACTTCGCTTTCCGCGACACCTACAAGTCCATGTTCGCCTACAAGAAGGAGCGTGACGGTTACGCCAAGTGGATGGCCGGTAACTTGGCCTCCGGTGGTGTAAGTACATCTGTTCAATGGCTAGCAAATCATGATCTAACAACAATAGGCTGCCGGTGCCACTTCCCTCCTCTTCGTCTACTCCCTCGACTACGCCCGTACCCGTCTCGCCAACGACGCCAAGTCGGCCAAGAAGGGTGGTGAGCGCCAGTTCAACGGTCTCGTAGA